ATAATGCTTAAATTAAGCGGAAAGGAGGAAAGAAATCGATACATCCTGTTTAAGTTAAACGGAAAGGAGGAAAGAAATCGAAACATCCTGTTTAAATTAAACGGGAAGGAGAAAAGAAATCGACAAATCTCGCTTACACTAAATGGGAAAGAAGGAATTCTGCTTCAAAAGGATCCATTAAACAGCTCTGGAATTGTCATATATTTATTCTCAAAGGTAAAATAACAGACAAAAGATTTTTTTGAAAATAAATTAATGACTGAGGACTTTATAACAACTAATAGGAGATTCCTCTTAAACTAAATGGTAGCTTTTAGTGTCACTGTCCGTTTTGTTTTGGAATTTCGCGTAAAGCTACACGAGGGCTATCTGCGCTAGCCGTCCCTAATTTAGCAGTGTAAGACTAGAGGGAAGGCAGCTAGTCATCACCACCCACCACCAACTCTTGGGCTACTCTTTTACCAACGAATAGTGGGATTGACCGTCACATTATAACGCCCCCACGGCTGAAAGGGCGAGCATGTTTGGTGGGATGTGGATTCGAACCCGCGACCCTCAGATTGTGAGTCGAGCGCCTTATCCACCTGGCCATGCCGGGCTCATGTCGCTGTCATTACCGGATAAAAATATTATTTTGATTTAAGTTTTTGAAACTTAATTTTTTTCCGATTAAGTCATGGCTATATGGAAAGTGAAAAATTACCAAGTAATTGTAACAAACACTTTGGATCTGTATCATTTCTTGGTAGAGATGTAAACGTATAAATTCTAAGCTTATATACACAATTTGGCACTGATAAATATTGATTAGGGTTGTAGCATGCAAACATACATATCTCATTTTTCCACATGTTTCATATCTAAAATGTGTTAAGATATAACTAGGAACATCCTATATTCAGCCCACGTTGTTATTTTGTTTAACAGGGTCTGATTACAGAAGCTGATTTGCTGTTTCATGAAATGTTGTATTGTATCGTATTTTACCTTGTGTGTGAAGAACTGTTTTACGACTGCCATAGCTCGGCATGGCCAGGTGGTTAAGGCGCTCCACTCGCAATCTGAGGGTCGCGGGTTCGAATCCCCGTCCCACCAAACATGCTCCCCTTTCAGCCGTGGGGGCGTTATAATGTGACGGTCAATCCCATTAGTCGTTGGTAAATGAGTAGCCCAAGAGTAGGCGGTGGGTGGTGATGGGTGCGCGAAATTCAAAAACAAACAAACGACTGCCACACGGATCAGAGATATTTCCGGATTCTTGTGATCCAGTGCTCTGATTGGTCAGGTACAGAGACAGTATGAATTGTGAACGTAGTTTTGGCGTTCTTCCGACAGGTTCATCCTTATCTTGGGAGAGTCCAGAGTCGTTTTGGAATTCTGGCCTTTGTTTTACGTTGTTCTACTGATCGAGTGTATTTTTTCATTTGGTTTATTTTCCTATTTAAATATCGTTTCTTTCATTCACCTCCAATTTAATACATTCATCTGTATTTCTAACTTAAGTCGGTACGTACTAACACTGTACGTCTACTGCTAAGCCTAAGCTTTTTATCTTTAGTTCTACCCCCGAGCAAATAAATGTTTCATTTTAACTTCAACACCGTGTCTTGTGTTTTTTATTCACACGCACAATATTTCATCGAATCTCTGATTGTTACGGAGATCAGGTAACTAACTATGTTCCAGGTTAATCATTAAATTACCGTTTGTACATAGTTTGAAGAACCCACATCATCAAACGTTTCGCTCAAAATACAGTATTGTCTTGTATATTCCTTTAACACATTTTTCCTCCGGCCTGAATCAGCTCTAAGCTCTAGTTGTTGTTATATGCAGTGGGATATTTCATTCTTCTTTCTTTCCCTTTCTTGTGATATTTATCATAACATTCATCATTTTCTTTAGACAAACAGATCCTGGGTATTCCAATGGCGAGGGATATTCATGACGTTAGTACTTATTACTAGGACCCAAGTAAATGTAAGGTTTATTAAGCCTTATCGTCTGCTGTACACAAGTAATATCCACTGGATACAGCTCAGGTTTTTATGTAACAAACTAATTGCCGGAACTGGCCCGTAAAGAAAAACTAAACGGCATTATGGTTTAATAGTCAGGAATTCAATTTATTTAAGTAGCCACTCGATATTTCAGTAATGGATGAAGCAGTGTTTACCAGATGCCTCCTTAATGTTATGATTTACCTTGAATAAACTGTTCATCTAGCTTCTATAACTTTTTAATAATAGGCTGTGATTGGTTTTACAAAGCAGTAAGTTATGACTTAATTCATTTTTAATGTTTTATGGCTGAAGTAATTCTGTTAATATTTTAAAATGTATATGAAGACAAGAGCTTTATTTCGTTTGTAGGATATACTTTATTTTGATCTTAACTTGGATAGTTAAATAGAATTACAGTACTTTTTTCAGTATCAGGATTGTTTATGAACCTTTTGTTTAAGAACTTGCACAAGGAACCGAGAGTTCATAATTATATGAAATAGTTATTGCTATAAACATATAAAATGTTCTTTATCGAGAATCCCTCGTTAGGGAACAAAAGCGACAAATGTTGAGTAAAATTGACTTGGTATGGTTGTTGGAAGAGTGATGGATTTAAATAATTTGTATGATACCTAAATTTTTTAATTAAAGAAAATATTCAATAGTTCTATGCATATTCGGAAGCTACATCGAAAGACTCTGTTCTTGATTATCTTTTCATTTATACCATGGGTTTTAACTACAGTTAAACTAACACTAACAGTGAAATAATTCATAAAGACGCCGTGACTATAAAACGTCGAAAATTAAAAAAAAAACTCACCAGGAGAAAAAAGTTTTTAAATTGTAAATGGAAAAACTTTTCTGTTTGTTATATCTTGTCTAAACTGTGTTAGTCCCCCTGCTGAAATCCGGGGTTTGATTCCCCGCAGTGGACACAACAGATAACCCAATGTGGTTTTGTTCTAATATAAATAAACAAATTAAACCGCGTTGTATCCTAATTAACTGGTCTAAATCAAACAATATTTTGATGAAATACATTTTTAAAAAAATCTCTTGTTTCTTGGAGCGAAATTTCGATGGATTGTAAAACTATTATTAATAAACGATTAAATGTCTGTATACCTTAAAACATTGGTCTAAGTCGAAAAAAAAATTGATAGAATTTATATGAAGAATAGACCCTCTAGCTCAAGTATATGAAGGTTGAAAATTTATGTATAACTTTGTTTTATCTTCTTTTATTAGTTGCCAGCAAGTGGAGCATCATTAAATCCAGCCCGTTCTCTCGGTCCTGCGTTTGTGATGAACAAGTGGCAACGACACTGGGTGAGTTCAATTATTGTACTCGAAGAATAATAGATTATGAAGAATTTCGAATGTTTATTTCATACTGTCGTTAGTTTTATGTTAACCCTTTCATTACGTACTGAGAGATCTATTTGGGAAGATCTAATTGTACGGCGACTATAGTGCAACAGTTCAGTTAAGATTAAAACGTTTATTTGATTTGTTACAATAATGTGAATTCTTTAAAATAAGAGATTTATAATATTTTATGAGTGATAGAAAGAGTAAAGACTCAGACGTGAGAAAACGAGGAATTGGGGGTTGTTAAAATTTAGAAAAACATTCCCCAACAACCCCTAGTCTAACGGGTTAGAAATATAATAACATAGTTAAACAAGATTGTGATAGTGGGTTCAAATTATTTTCACATCTTTATCGATCCGTCATTTAAGATTATTGATGATTTATTTGGCCCAAAACGACGCTCAAAAACAACTCCGTCAGCCATTGGCTAAGAAGGAAAAAATTGGATTATGAGTTAGTTCTAAGCTTAAAAACCTAAGACGAAGTTGGGTAACACAAAGGAGGTGGCGCATTCACATAGGCATATTTAATGAAATGTTGAATTATGGTTTGAAGTTTAAGTGGATATTCCAACCTGTAAGATTGATTAAGGGCTCTTATTTAGTAACCTTTGGCAGATTCAAGGAGAAAATGTTGAATTATGGGTTTGAAATCGTAAAGGAGATTCCTATTTAGAACACTGTAAGGGCCCCCATTTACTAAACTTGGGCAGATGTAATGATGCCTCATCTTTAGGTGGTTAATATTTTGGACTAATTCAAGTAAAGTTAGAAAGAAAACCCAAGTTTAGCAAACTACAAATGTTTTAGCCACTGATGCAATTCGCGTCGTACGAATAAGAAAAACAAGCATAGAGAGTCAGCAGTTAAAGAAAATAACATGGTATGTTATACAGAAAAACGGGTTTCACTTTTTCTTGTTTTACTAATACTTTACTAGAATTCAGTCATTTTGTCTGATTATCATTCAAAACTGGAGTTGTGGATTTAAGTGTGGAGTAACTTTATTTATTAAATTATTGTGTGAAATGTGGTCACCAGTGTGTACTCCCTCTGGGTGTGAATATATAGTCAGTAGAATGTACTTTCAGTAAAGGTATGGTCAGTAGAATTTATTATGAGCGAAGATATGGTCAGTAGAATGTATTATGAGCGAGGGTATGGTCAGTAGAATGTATTATGAGCGAGGATATAGTCAGTAGAATCTACTATTGGTGATTATATAGTCAGCGAAGTGTACTCTCGATGAAGATTTGATCATTGGAAGACACTCTCTTTGGAGATATGGTCAGTACAATTTACCTTTATAATTGCTGACCTGTTGGTCAAGTTTTGATATATTTATGCTTTGTTTTAAATGAAAGCTTTATTAGAAATTGATGAGGCCTTTGGTTTGAGTGTTATAAATTGCACTGAAACTTTATACATTCTTATAGTTTATTGCACTTCGCTAATCAAACGAGTTGGTAATGTTGCTTCAAGTGGAAAACAACAGTGACCTTGTTGATTAAAAACGGTGCGTGCGAATGTTATGTGATATTTTTATAAAAGAATCTTTGTCAAAGTCTTTCGCGTTCTTGATGTAGCTGTAACAATGATGATTGTTCTTGGAGTTACACAATACTTGAAGCTGTTATCGTTTAAGTTTCTCTCTCTCTTATGTGAAATATATTTTACTTCTTTTTGAGAGTCACACAATAATAGAAATTAATAAATGTTTTTCGGTCGTCTTTGTTTGATGCTTTCTTAGAAATTAACTGATCGCGATTTCACTCTGAGTGGATAGCTCTGAAATATGCTGAGCATTTTCTGCATCACCACGAGTTACCAACTTAAGTTGCATTTCTGACGAAGTCATTCTGTCCAAAAGGCCCGAATTAACCAATATCCACTCTGTGCACACGGGAAAATATATTTATAAGACATTCCAGAAGTAGGTGTATATGGCAATCACAACTGGCCTAAATTAACAATATACATAACTATAATTCAGTCATTCATGTATTACATTTACCACAATGCTTTCTCAGCCTATCTGTTATGTCGGCGAAACTGGATACGAGGATTCTTTTAATTAATCAAATATAACGTAAAGTTACTGGTACTTGTGTGTTTTCTGCTGAGAAAGAGTCAATTCTTTAATTAATAATGATAATGTAAAAATTTAAAAACGAGTTCTTGTAATATCTTTACAATTTTTTACATTGTTAAAACAGACATGGGTAAATTTCACGCAATATTTGAAACGTCAATAAAAGATTTAGCTTGTTAAACAGATCTTATTTTTCTGACTCATAAAATGTAACCACATAATTCCTTCTAAATAGGGCTCGGCATGACCAGGTGGTTAGGGCACTCGACTCGCAATCTGCGGGTCGCGGGTTCGAATCCCCGTCACACCAAACATGCTCGCCCTTTCAGCCGTGGGGGCGTTATAATGTGAC